TGTTAGAACAAGTTGGGAGCTCTGAAATGAATCGCATATTCACACGCAGCCAAAAGTTGAACAGTGAGGCCATCATTGATTTCGTGAAAGCTCTTTGCAAGGTATCCATGGAGGAGTTGCGTTCTGCTTCTGATCCCCGGGTGTTTAGCCTTACGAAGATTGTTGAGATTGCGTAAGAATCTTTTCTATACATTGTCTCCTTCCTGGCTACTTCTTTCTTCAATGATTGCCTGGTGTGTGTGTATATATATGCAGCTGTTTGCTGATGTAACTGAGCTTTTGATCACAGGCATTATAACATGAATCGCATCAGGCTTGTATGGTCAAGCATCTGGCATGTGCTCTCTGATTTCTTTGTAACCATTGGCTGTTCTGAGAACCTCTCCATTTCCATTTTTGCAATGGACTCTTTGCGCCAGTTGTCAATGAAATTCCTGGAGCGTGAAGAGTTGGCTAACTACAATTTCCAGAACGAATTCATGAAGCCTTTTGTCATTGTCATGCGTAAGAGCAGTGCTGTTGAGATAAGAGAACTGATTGTCAGATGTGTATCCCAAATGGTTTTGTCTCGGGTCAATAATGTCAAGTCAGGCTGGAAGAGCATGTTCATGGTATTAAAAATCTACCATTTCCTTTGGTTTCAACATTCAATCGAATCTACCTTGGCATATAGGTTATTATCCAAACCTTACTTCTGCATGTTGTATTGACAACGACATTCATGGCCATTTTTCAGGTTTTCACAACAGCAGCTTATGATGACCACAAAAACATTGTTCTGTTGGCTTTTGAGATAATGGAGAAGATCATTCGTGACTACTTCCCTTATATTACTGAAACTGAGACGACTACCTTCACGGATTGTGTGAATTGCCTTATTGCTTTTACCAATAGCCGGTTTAACAAAGATATCAGCCTCAATGCAATTGCTTTTCTTCGATTCTGTGCTACCAAACTTGCTGGAGGAGACCTTGCTTCTTCATCAAGGAATAAGGAAAAGGAACCTTTGTCAAGACTCTCCCCGTCTTCTCCTCATCATGCAGGCAAAGATGGAAAGCAAGATAATGGGTATATTGATGATAGGGAGAATCATCTCTACTTTTGGTTCCCTTTACTGGCAGGTGAGATTTACGTATGGAATGCTTTGTAATCAAGAAGTTATTTTAAATGACATTCCAATGAACCTTGATCTAGAAGCTAATTTTCCATCTGGCTTATATTTGTGCAGGCCTGTCAGAACTTAGCTTTGATCCTAGGCCCGAAATCAGGAAGAGTGCCTTGCAAGTGTTGTTTGATACTTTACGCAATCACGGTCACCTATTCTCTCTACCTTTATGGGAACGAGTGTTTGAGTCAGTCTTATTCCCAATATTTGACTATGTGCGGCATGCAATCGATCCAACAGGGGGTGACTCTCCTGGACAAGGTATCGATGGTGATACTGGGGAGCTTGACCAAGATGCATGGCTCTATGAGACTTGCACATTGGCCCTGCAGCTGGTTGTAGATCTTTTTGTCAAGTTCTACAGCACTGTAAACCCACTATTGAGGAAGGTTTTGAAGCTATTGGTGAGTTTTATTAGACGGCCACACCAGAGTCTTGCTGGTATTGGCATTGCTGCCTTTGTGCGGTTGATGAGTAATGCTGGTGATCTGTTCTCTGACGACAAGTGGCTAGAAGTGGTGCTCTCTCTAAGAGAAGCAGCCAATGCAACACTTCCTGATTTCTCTTTTCTAGTAAGCGGAGAGCCTGCGGTGCACAGCTACAAACATGCTGGTTCAACTGAGCAAAGCAATGTAGAAAATGGAGAATCTGCAGATGTTCATGAGAGATTGATGACACGTCTTTATGCTGCAATATCTGATGCAAAGTGCCGTGCTGCTGTCCAACTTTTGTTGATTCAGGTAAGTTCTTTCCTTCTATCTTCGTATATATGTTCTTGTGAGTTCTACCAATATATTTGTTCTGGGGAGTGCGGTGTTATCCATATGAATGGATTGCATTTCACCTGAATGCTCTAACCTGTCCCAATCAAACTCCCGCTTCACATTCTCCGAGTATTCCATCCAATCCCAGCTTGACCTGTTCTATCTCAATTCTGTGTAATGTTTACTCGTATTCATGCTATTTCGACTCCTCTATTAAGAACGCACCTGGACTTATTGCGAGCCTTCATCTCTTAAATAAGTTACATCATTCTTTTTTTTTTTTTTTTGGTTGAAGTTATATCATTCTTTATTTATTCATAAAGTGATTACTCTTTATTTCTTCCAAATAAAATTGTGATTTTGCATATGTTCTCTTCTAATTGCATATCCGAATGGTAGACTGAGAGAAACAAGGATCTAGGTGTTCTCGGATTATTACTATTGATTTGGATTAGGTAGATCAATTAGGGATCGATCAACATGGGATTAGAGAAAGGTTTTGGGAATAGGAATTTGGGAAGGAAGAGGTAGAAAGGGAGAAGTGGCGGTAGCCAAGAGGAGATGGGGGAGAGAGTTTACCGGTTTGAGAAAGAGGGGTAGGTTTAGGAATTGATTACTCTGATTAACCCTGCTCCCATAATTCACACTTAAAAACATATATATCCTGACAATTCCCTACAACTACCGAAACTACTACTTCCTAACAAAATAATCCAAATAATTCCCAGCAAAGTCATAAACAATGATAAACCGACAAATGAATCCAAATAATTATATCCCGAATATTCTTGTTTCTGCCATAGACCTACTGCTACTCATTCTCCAGCCTGACTTGCATTTATGTGAATCATTTCCTGGGAGGAGAGCTTCTGCATATACTTATCTTAGCTGTTTATTGGCGCATCATTGGGACTCTATCTTATCTGTGGTTTTGCAGGCGGTGATGGAAGTTTACAACATGTATAGGCCTCAACTTTCAGCGAAAAACACACTTGTCCTGTACGATGCCTTGCATGACGTGGCATCCCATGCTCACAAGATTAACACGGACTCCCAGCTGCGGTCAAGGCTGCAGGAATTCAGCTCCATCACTCAAATGCAAGACCCGCCGCTATTGCGGCTGGAGAATGAGTCTTTCCAAATATGCCTGACGTTCTTGCAGAATCTCATACTGGACAGGCCGCCGAGTTATGACGAGTCGGAAGTGGAATCCTGCATGGTCAGCCTTTGTCACGAGGTGCTTCAGTTTTACATCATCACATCCCATGGTTCAGGACGCGCGCCTCCATCAGCATCATCCTCTCCAAACGAACCTCAACCTCGGTCCCTTATCATACCTCTGGGGTCGGGGAAAAGGAGGGAGTTAGCTGCCCGTGCACCCCTTGTTGTTGCGACTCTCCAGGCCATATGTAGCCTGGGAGAGACTTCGTTCGAGAGGAACCTGACTGGTTTCTTCCCACTTCTCTGGAGCTTGATCAGTTGTGAGCATGGGTCGAACGAGGTCCAGGTGGCTCTGAGTGATATGCTGAGCTCGTGGGTTGGTCCAGTATTGCTTCGTTCTTGCTGATTTGCGCGGAAAATTTCTCACTTTGGTAACTGCTCTGCAGAATACAATTTCTTGACCGGTTTGATGCGTTATCATATTTGTTCTTGTTTCGGGGACCGGATATTATATGGTAGATGGGGATGGGTAGTGTAAGGAAGAGTTTAGGCGGGATGTGGCCAATGCTTGTCTGTAGTTACTCGGGTAGGTTTGGATGCAAAATTAATTGATAGCAGGAGGAGTTTTGATTGATGTTGTAATGCTAGTTTAATCCTTTCTCTTTTGTTGTTTGTTTCCTTAACCTTGGTTTGGCCATTTCTGTTGCTCCAACACTCTTAGGTAAGCTTATGCTGCTCCTACAATAATCTCCTTGTGGAATTATTTGCTTCGTCGATGGTGCTTCCTTTTCTGTATGTTTATCTCGATACGTGTCGAGGCTCTGCTAGAACGATATCTTGTGTGTGTTTTGGTCAACAAAATCATGTTTAAGATTAAGCTACGGAATTCTGATTGAATGAATGGCGTCTGTCTCTTCTCTTGCATCAAGATCCAGTAGAATGGACTGGATTGCAACGGCAGGCAGATTGACTCAAGATGGATATGGTCCATAGTTTGGATGATCGTCCCTTTCCAACATGAATGTGAGATCTCTCCTGCACGAGCCTCTCCCTTGCTGTTAGAAATGTTTTTCTAGTGTTCCTAACGGTTGTTGTGTTTGTGAGATTGGGAATTGATCAAGGTTGTTAACCAGTAGGCTGACTCGGACCCGGTCGAGCTAGTGGGTTAAGGGTTAATGGATCACTCGATTTTGTCCGGAAATATGAAAAGAGTCATTATATTGTACTTATCCTGATAAATTATATCAAATCTCATCTAACATATGGATTCCAAGGATTGAGTTAGGCGAAAAGAAAAATCGAAAAATAGGCGCATTCCGCAAACCAAAGAAAAAAATGACACAATTTGAACTCCAACCCGGTACCTTGTAGCAGTCGACCCGGCGGGTGCGTGTGACCCGTTTTTCTCACCCGATCAGGGTCAAATAGGTCGACTGGCGGGTTGACAACCTTGGAATTGATAGATAATTGGGGTTTAGGAGAATTGGAGATATAATTAGGAATTGAGAGATAGAATTGAGGAAGCACAGATAGTACGGCCGAAGCCTTTAGAGAGAAGGAGAAACGAGATTGAGAGGAGAAGATTAGTGTAAGAAACACGGATCTAGGCGAGTACGACTAGGGTTCGTATAACGAGGATTTGATAGGGAGTTGGGGAATTGAGATAGGAATTAAGGATTTGGGGAACGAAACTTGAGGAAGAAGAAAGAGATCGATTCCTCTAGGGAGAGAGAGAGCTCGGGATTGGTAGGAAAAGAGAGATTAGGTTTAGGGAAAATAGTGATATGTTATTGCTTAATGAGAGAGACCCCATTAATACAGTTAATATATAATTGTTTCTTGGTGATCTGTTATTCTAACAACAATTAGGGATTTGGGGAAGATAATTGTTTCTTATAATCGAACAAAAGAATCAAAGTACATATTTATAGTTGAAGACTGGAAAAACCTAATAGACTATCTTAAAATGACTCAAAGACTACTAACCATATATAATAAAATCCTAATAATAGTAACAATGATAGACCCCCCCCCCCCCCCCCCCCCCCCCACCAACCTTGTCCTCAAGGTTGATCGACTCGTCCCACTTCTACACGTTGCCCGTGCAGTTCGCACTTTGTCTCATCCATTTCCTGCGATTCCTTTTTTCAATCCAGTTCCACCTCTTGTATTGGGCTTCTTGCACCGATCTTCGTGTACTGATCTCACTCTTCAAATTTCATTCCTGATGACCCAACCAACCTTAACGTCCTCGAAGTATTCAAACTCCAAATACGCCTCCTCCGTTTTTATCATACTCCAGCAACCCCAAGAACTCAAGGGTTCACTCTTGTTCAACAACTCATCCTTGAGTACGAACTCATCAAAACCATCAAACATCCCTCTCAAAGCTAGCCCATAGACCTGCCATGTTTCTCTAGGGCTATTGGGCCATATTCTCTTAAAAGCCCAGCTTCCAAGCTAGCATACTCATCTCCCTTTTCTCCAAGCCAATCTTCTTCATAACACAGGCCATCTTGAACTGAATTTGTCCATGCAGACGCATCCCACTTTCTTCTAGTCTCAGCCCAAGGCCATATAAAAGAGAACTCACCAGACAAGCCAATATGGGCGCTTAGAATGCGGCACATTCCGCAACCCAACAGTAACCCGAATTGACTAAAAGTCAATTCTTTCTTAGATAAAAAGACTCTTCGATCGATTAGTGTAGAATATCACATTTTTACTGTCTATAAATAAATAAGTGGACTTACAGATTTTCATTGCTATACCAAATAATCAATTTACCGACTACCCAGAAGGAAAACAATAGGACGAAGTGAGTCCCAACAGTACAAACAGACATCACAAGTCCCGACTCTCCAACCTACAAAACTGTTTTCCATCTCATTTGATCACGTCATATATATATTTAATAAAGTTACCAGCTCGGCGTATGGTGTCTGGATCCTTAGTCTATCCTCAGCCGCCGCATCTCCGATCGAAATGTGGGGCTCGAGTTCAACGTCCGTCTCGCAAGACTTCTTATGTCCTCCCTGGAACAGTCGTGCGAAATGCGTACTAGCTCCCATAATGCTCCTCCACTGATCATCTCCTTCGCATTCACCTCTACATTTTTTCAAGGAAGCACATGATACGTCGGGTTTCAAACCAGTGTGTGAGATAAGAGTGCGAGAGAGGCATGGAACTAGGAATCGTTACCGTGTTGTGCAAGGTGACATAGTGCAAGTTCGATATGGCGTCTGATTGGAGCTGCTTCATTATTGGCATTCTGTACAATCCAAGGAAGCGCTCCGTCGTCTATGAGAAGTGATCTTCCATTCTTCGTTCCTGTCGCACGTTTGACAATGACAACAACCAATGTTTTACTAGATACACGAAGCAGTTCGCCTGCAACATTCAGTTTCTACTTTGAGTAAGGTGGGATCTACCTTGAGTAGCTGCACGGGATTCACATTTTGCAAAGTTAGCTATGCCTCTTGCAACTTGTGAGAGAACATCAGCATGCCCACATCTCACCATTCCTAACAGGGCCTTTATTCCTCCTTCAGACTTCAGCTTCATTTGCAACTTATCTGGATATCACCGGGAATCCCATTAATAAAGTTTAAACCACGGAAACTAAAATGTACATTTCATCTATAAGATTCTGTACAAGGCTATGAGATTCAATAGAAGTCTCAGAAAGGTATATGGATGAAAATATGTACCATTGCCACAGAGATTTGCAATAGCACCAGCAACCATACGAAGAGTTTGCGGATCCTCGGCATCAGCTGCTGTCATGGTTAGCAAAGTGATACCTCCTTGAGTCATAATGAGCTCTTGATTAGTCTCTGCAAACAAGCAAAGTCAATACACATTTAGATGGGGAGAATTTGATATTAATTACTAATAAGCTAGAAAGTTGCGAGGACTTGCCGTTCATCGCAAGATTGGCAATTGCACCGGCAGCCACTCTGCGAACAGTTTCATCCTCAAATTTTCTAAGAAGCATCAACAAGGAGGTAAGACCACCGGCTTCAACTATCTTCTCCTGATTCGCTTCTGTAAAGGAAACATAAATCAGCAGCTATACATGTGGCAGATATCAACATAAATTGCTTTCTAAGGAAATGTTGGAGGATAAAAGGTGGGCAGGTAACAAACCTTCAGCAGCTAAATTGGCCAACACTTTTACTGCATGAATTTGAACGTTAGCATCCTCTGACTCCAGATAGGACAATATCTGATGCAGCCCAACTGCCAAATCAAATTTGGAAGAACAATTAGATGTCGTATGCCTGCTGGAGGATGGCAGTTCACGCGAGCGACACAAGTTTTTACCTTGTTCAAAAAGTGTGCCAACTGGTGCTTTCTCTCCGTTATTTACTGATGGAGAATCCGTTCCATTGAGACCATTCCCCGATCCAACTCTCTCCATATACCTTCTTGACTATAGATATAAATAAAACACAGTCAGTAGTTAGGACTTGCAAATTTATAGAAACACGCTTTGAGTGAAAACTAACGAGGGAGAAATATTAAGCTATAACTCAAATCACAAGCCACTTCAAGAAAATTTATGAATGAAAACATAAACACCATCAGAAAGTAGGACTGCGCCATGATTACTTCTCAACATCCTAACATCAAGCATAGAGTACCTGATCAGCTTCATAACTCAGCTGTAATAACTGACTTTTTAAAATCATAACTTCTTCCTCCAGCTTTTTCTTCTTCTGAGTTTCGACCTCCAGAAGTTGGTGAATTCTTAATATCTCTCCATCTCCACCTGCCTAGAACATAAGAAAAAAATTATAAATTCATGCAAATCATCTTATCCTTGAAGAAAAGCAGAGTTGATTGTACTCGGGGGAAAAAAAAGAGAGTTCATTAATGCTAATGCTAAACCAGGGGTAAGATAGTGACAGATTCCATATGAAAATAAAATCCTTGATAAACTGCAAAAAGTTCACACCTCAGACTGCATCAATTGACCCATCCGAGTATTAAGTTTGTTAACTTCCTCTTCAGATGCCTTTCTTCGTTGAGTTTCATTCTGGAGCAATTTTCTTACTTCGGCAACCTCATCAGAAACCGAAACAACCTGATCCTGCAAATTTATTACTCATTTGTGTGAAGCAAATACAGAAGGTACTATCAACATGGAATAGCTCTGTAATATTGATTTACCCTAGTCGGGGATCTAGTCGTGTGCCTGGAATTTAATAACCAGCTCCATGACACATGTTTGAGTTCATATACTACCTCACTTTTGGAACCACGGATGGGTTCTCTTAGGGTAGAACAATTAAAAAGTCTACGAACAAGAACCCCAAATTCATAACAATTGTTGGCATGATTAAAATGATGTATATCGTAAGACTTGCATCTAGAAAATGGCAAGTTGTATCAATCATATGACAGTCACATATAATATAGAAGTTAAACTGCTAAGAACTGTTGAGACCACTATCGCCGGTCATGATAATGTAGCAGTGCTCACTCTAGGATTTGTAAAAACATTCCTTCCCATAAAGTTTGCCTAAATGACTCCTAGCAAGTTCTTTCCGCAAACAGCAAGTACTAAGGAAAAGAAAAATACAAAAGCGTTACCTCCCCATTGCATCCATTTCTTATGATGCCATCACTGCCATGCTTTCGCTGATTAGTCAGCATTTTTTCCTCCAATTTCTTCACTGATTCCATATATTCCATCTGGCATTTGAGCCTTTCCTTCTACAAATAGTAGAGTTAAGTGAGCAAATGTACAAATGAAAACAAATGGAAAAGATACATCTACAAGGATCAGCTAGAGAGTCATCGGTTTAATGAAAAGTCTTATTAGTGCTTTCCAGTTGCTGGTGCATTTTGCTCTCTTTATTTCCAAGTATAAATAGCACAACCATCTTTCTGAAATCCAATTAACAGCCATGCCCATTCTTCATTCTAACAATCTCATTAGCTCGTCAGTACTAGACTACCACCTTTGACAAATACCATGCTAGCTACTTAGCGCAAATGACGCAGAATGACCCTTGCATATCAAGAAAATTGTTCATACAACATATTCTCACTGAAATATGATAAGTGTTCTCCCTCAAACAATGTTTATACTTCAACCAACCTCTAATGCTTCAGCGAAATTCCTTTCAACCTCAGCAATACGATTTTGAGCTTCTTGATTCATTCGTTCGAGTTCATATTCATAAGCTTTCTGCTGCCTTTCATTCTCTGCAATAAGCTTGTCCACTTGTATCTCAAGCTTTCTGGACAGACTCTTATAATCAAATTCTTCCTTTATTTTCAACATATTTTCCACCTTCATAGCCTGTGAAGAGATCCGAGTGACAAGCATGGTACAGAAGTTAGTCAATGATGCAATGGCTTAAATCTAACATGTCGAATTGTTGACAATGGTAAAAATTAGAACAGCAAAAAGGAGGATTCAAGGAAGCAGAGAGATACATACATGACTTCCTTAAGACACTGAAAACGAATACATAAAGATTATCTGAATAATCAAGAAAATTACCCTTTGCCCAAATTGTATGGTACTTGCAGTCTCTCCTCGATGGCGTGGGGAAGGGCCGATTGTGACAATTAACGAGGTTCTAGCTGTGCCTGCGATATGATGTTGTTATCAATAAAAATGATCAGCAACACTTATGAAGTCAAAAGAACAGAATGAATAGTTGAGACACCCAAATTTCTTAGCGTCCTTCAAAGCATATCACGCTCCTAAGAAATTCATTGCCCATAAAAACTGAGAGTCAGAAAGTATTTTCTGATAGACACATCTGGATTAGGTTTTTGCTGTGAATGGTAGTCATGACATAGAAGCATAGGCGCACACCATTCTCTCAAACAAAGAAGGCACTAACCTCCAAATGAATCCTTCAGCAACCTTGTAAGTTTTGAATCACGAACTGGTACATGCGCACAATTCTCTGCTAGTGCATTTATGCATTTCCCTAGTGCACTCAGTGAGAGATTGATAGATTTGGCTTCCTCTAACATATGCCCCTCACTTCCTGTCATGAAATGAAAAGTAACAACAAACAGTCAAGACTATTCCCTTGCATCAAAAGATCATGGATTTAGAGCTCACGACTTATGACTGGACCATATTTATCCTCCAGATCAGTTGAAAAAACACAGGAACAGTGTAGCACCATTTTTGAAAAACTAGAAGCAACTTCATGTAATAGTTCAATAGTCATTAACTCCAGTACACAACCGACCTGACTTGTGAACACGCTCGGAGCCTGCCAGATCAACTAGAACCAATTTGCTCTTCCGGATGAGTGGCCTTAAAGGTTTCACAAAGTGAGAAGAGTTACCATTTTCAATTGAAAGAGTATCATCCTGACTCACAACTGACCTTTTAACATGAACCTGCCCAGAAGATGCAAAGACGACAATGACACTCAAGTAAAAGAAAGAAGCAGACAAGATTTAAAAAAAAAAAAAGGAAAAAAAGAGATGGGATTGTTAACCATCAGAATGGCATGACTGCGAGAAGATTCAGTATTCAACTTTGTGTTGGCAGCAATTCGATGAGCTTCCCCTATGCTTAGAAGCTCCACAAAACTCTGCTGGTCTCTGATTTCTAAAAGAGTAGCCCCAGGAAGCGAAACATCGCCAGTTTTAGGATCTTCTACAATGGAAATATTATCATTTGTGGGATCGAGGAGGTCCTGGATTGCCTCCATGTAAAGCTATGAGAAAAGAAAGAAGGGTGAGGCGACAATGGGTATGAAGGATTCAAACAAAGACAGAATCACCATTTAGGCGAAATCCTAACCTGCAAGTATGAGACAGAGACGGAGTCAGTCTCTGGAGCAACGTCTGCCAGAATATCCTCCATTGCACGAACCATGATCCCACGAGAAGCTGTGTCGCCATCTCCGAGGTGTCCAACAGTGAACGTTTTCCCTGTGCCAGTCTGTCCGTAGGCCATGACAGTCCCATTGTAACCATCCAGGACGCTCTAATAAGGGCGAAAAAGCAAGCATATCAATTGAACAGAAAAAGCCCGAGAGCATCATAGCATAATGGAAACGATAATAAGAAAAGCAATCACCGCGAAGATACCTCGACAACAGGCTTTGCAACGACTTCATAGACCCGCTTCTGGGATGCGAATTCAGTAAGGACCTCGTCAAACTCGTACGTGTCTGAGTCCCAATTGTTCTTCCTCAGTTTCAACCTTTTCAACTGTGGTAGACGGAAGAGGGCGAGAGAGAGAGCATAGGTAAGTTAGAGATCAAATGAGGAATGCTGGAGGAAGAGAAGAGATGGAACCACCTCACCTCTGGCTGGACTTCCACGCAATCAGCGAAGTCAGCATCAGCTACCATCTCCTCCGCATTCCTTGGCCGCAACCTCACAGCCACTCGAACTCTTCCCGGTACTGCTGAATAAAGCATTTACAATTATCACCAATTCTGGCCAAGTAATGCCGTACCCCAGTGAATTACAACTGCAAAGGACTAACAAATGGGGCTAGGGAAGGATTGGTCATAGATCGACAAGCGAAAGAGAAGAAGAGAGGGAGGGAGGGAGGGAGGCCGTTGTTGTTCATTCCAAATTGCAAGCATATACGCAAAGTTGAAGCAATCTGCTGAGCAAATTCGTAACCAGAGAATGAAGAAGAAGGAAGGAACGAACCGCCATCATCTCCTGCGGCCGCGAAGGAACCAGTGCTGCTGCGGCGGAGAGTGGATCCTGGCAGCTGAGAGGGCCTTGATTTGTAGGAAGATGACCTTAGATTGCCGCCAGCGAGAGACCTGGCGCCGCCTCCTCCTCCTCTGGGAGCGCCATTTCTGCAGGCAGCGGAGGACGCCATTGGAGTTAGTGTGCTGTGTCTCGCCAACTATCTCCCTTGCTTGCTTCTTCTCCCCTCGATTTCAAATAACATTTCCCCAATTTTTTACTGCCAGAGAGAGAGGTGGAACGATTTTGGGGTTGATTCTATCTGTGCTCACTCTGTCCTGGGTAAATTCAAAAACAAAAAGCAAAAGAAAATACCCCACGCCGCCCATCCCACTAACGGAGAGAGAGAGGCACACGCGCATTCAGAAAACCGTGGTTGTTATGGTAGAATTAGGTTCAACCGGTACCGATTATAATTGTAAGTCTCCCATAAGATCGGCATGATAGATTTTTATTTTTTAAATATAGTGACGTTATTTTGGAGAAATTAATTAAAAAATTACTTATTTTTTTTAATTTGAAAGTTAAAAATTAATGTTATTTGTATGATTCGTGTTTGAATGTTTAGATGTTTTATGTTATTTGTTGGATTCTACTATGTAATTTTGGATGTTGTGTTAAATATTGTATTTAAATATGATGCTTGTTTCTTTTCTTTTTTTGGAATGTTATAATCTATTTAACTATGAATGCAAATTTTAAAGGGATTATCTTTAATGATCATGGACATGAATCCCTTCGTATTGAGCATTTTCTTTTTCAAGTGAAATTCCCTGGTATATGAAAGAGTGAAAAGTACTTTCATTGTTGTGGAATAAGAAATCTTCGTATTTTAATGCATGTATTTAATTTATTCGCGGCTATTAGAGCGGGATCCACTTTTTGGTGAATATGAGTCGAAACAATAACAAGAATATTTCTAGTGGACCATCTTTCACAAATCCATAGAGACATAGTTCACTATGTTTCTTAAGGAGAGAAAAGGAGGGAAAGGGAAATTGAGAAGGGAAAGTGAGATTCCCAATGCATTTTCCCTTGTTCATTTATGGAGGGAAAGTGAGTAGGGAAGGAAATTATCCCTCCTTGGTACTATTCAACCCACTCCTCCAAATTGGAGAGAAAGAAGAGGAAATGAAGGACACACATGCATGTTCTTCTTTTTCTTCATTTTTAAATATTTGCCTAATAGTTAAGTTTCCAACACAAAATAACATTAATTATTAATTCAATTGCTAACTTCATTATTATACAAGATTATTAACTTCACCCACTCTATCACAATCCTTATTTGTTTTGTACTTAATCTCCTTTTTTTTAATAATTCCGTACTTAATCTCCAAAATAAGATTAAGTGAGTCTTTTTAATTACTAGCATGAAAGTAATCAAATTAGTCCTGGTGACTTTTAGCCTTCATTCTGCTTCCTAACAAAATTAATTAGTAACAAAGAAGTAGCCAAACAAAAATAATTATTTCAATGAAGAATTACTAAATCGTAGCATAGTGTCGGTAATTTTGTAAAACTATACCATATATAATTTGATAATCATATATTATACTATGATAGCAAAAATATATCATAATGGTAGAACGATGGTAGAAATATACCATAGTGGTAAGCTTGTTGATTTGTGGTCTAATATAGTGCTAAATTCTATTTGTTGTTGTATGGCGTGGAAATCACGTCGCAGCCACTTTAGAATTATATGTTGCGTCATAGACAAAAGAGACTAATGCCTGTCAATATTAACGGTCTAGCTAAATTTCGAGTTTAATTTGTCGATTTCAAAGTGGATGTCATGTTTGTTTATGTTCTTAGTTGCTATGTTGATAAATCAACAAAATTTTAATAAGTTGAATGATTTTTAATTGATTTAGAATCCTTGATTAATTATTATAAAGTCTCTATTTTTAAATGATTGATGTGGTTAAATCACTGTTTTTAAATAAACAAAGTCTCTATTAATTATTACATTACTAATAATAACATATTCATCACACTTCCCAAAACACACTTTCCTTCCTACTTTTCTCCATAAAACAACATTTTCCTTCCAATTTCCTTCACCTCCAAATCTCCCCTCCCCTCCTAATTTTCCTTCACCTCCCCTCCTTTTCCTCCCTTCCTTCGGAAACATAGTGTAATAGACCGAGAGATAAGTAATAATTTGACTCATGAGATTAATACAATTTAATAGTCAAACCTTTTGACTACAGATAAAATAATAGCCAAACATTTACCCCTGTTTCGGAGAGGTGGAAAGGGGGGAGGGGAAATACAATTCCCGATATCTTTTTCGTTTTTTTCTAACAAAAGTAACAATGCAGAGGGAGAGAAAAGTAAGAGAAAATTTACTGTACCGCCTGACCCTCCAAATCGGAGGGAAATCAAAGGGAAAAGAACTTGTCTCCCCTTTATTTGTCATTTGCCCATTTTTCTTTCTTTTCTTGTTAGGACTTAGAAATAGAAGTAAACAAGTCTAGACTATTGATTAGGAAGTTTATAATTATCTTTTACCTTTTACGTGTATGATTATAGTTAGTAATATTTTTAGTCATTAATTATTATGATATATATATAATTATAGTTGAGGGATGTTTAGATATTTAGAGTTTTCATAAAAAAATATTTTGAGATTCTTTCTTTCTAAATTAAAATTTTGACCGCAAAAAAATTGTGTATAAGTTTTTAATTCAAAATCGTGGTTCATTTCCACATATTTACTATTACACAATCAATTCAAATTTATTGTTTTTCTATGTCCTACGTAAGTATAGATATAACATAATATTGATTTAAGTTAGTCATCACCATTATAAAAAAAACATAATATTGATTTACGTAATGCATAATATTATTTCATGCATAATTATATTTTATCGCTACTCCTATCTACGAACTACTAATACAGTCTGGTACTTGGTCACATGAATTTTATTATTGCCGAAGACAAATGGACCATATTGACATTTAGATCGAACCAAACCGAAATTTTAATAGAATGGATGTCATCTTGTACAACAAAGGTAATACAACTTTTTAATAGTAAACCAATTTAGCAAAAAAGAATTAATTTGAAATATAAAATCCGTTTATATTTTGAAATTAAAAAGTAAAATCAGTTTATATTTTGATAAATTAGCAAGAAACAATAAATTTGATCCACTATTAGATTATTATTAGTTAGAATAATTAAGACACAAGTTTTTTACTATTGCATACGAAGAATCCGGGGTTACCTTATTAAGTTGGGTTACTGTTCCTAAACGTCCTTTTAAATTCTCTGCGGCCGGGTGTACTGTACCGCATGCAAACCTCCTGGTCGTTGGTCGAGCATCTCATTTGTTCAATCTCTTTATAATTCATGTGGCAGCCTGTGCACTTTACCCCGTATGAGCCCATGGCAGCTTCCCAAGCATGTCAATGTTTTACTCTCTTCATAATGAAAGTGCTATACATTAGGTTGGCCAAGAAAATAAAAAATGATCCTTCTTTTTCAACCATAAGTTTTTAGACAACTACTTGATAGTTTTTCATTTCATATTACGACATAGTTTTTCAACATCTCATCAATTTGCATTATGATTTTTTTTTAAGGTAAATTTTTTATTGTACTTTAATCAAATGAGACTTTTCATAACTTGATTTTATTATAATACCACACTTTACGAAAGATTTAGGTAACATCATTCTATAACAATTACACACCTTACAAATACCTTAAGTAAATCTCACATATGGATAATTGTTCATTATTTATCACAAACATATTATGTAAGTCTTTCACGGTAGTATTTTTAATGAAAACTCCAAAATTTATTAACTAAAATGACGATCTCATCAATTTATTACACAAGTTTTGTAAGATAAGTTATTTTTACATATAGTTTAATCAAATGTGATACATTTCATAACTTAATTCATTTATTAGCTAAAATTTCTTTGTTAGTATAATTATATTCATCACACCAATTTGAATTAGTCAAATTAAAGTTTTTGTAGTCTAATCAAATATGAGACATATCTGTAATTTAATTTCATTATTAGACCACATGTTATAAATAATTCTTTCTATAATAATTTTAAAACATATTACCTAGAACTTATGAAGGTTGAAGGGATTATTACTTTTCGTGTATCAATCAAACAAACATAGTACGTAAGCCTTTCGTAAGACACTAAGTAATTGATGAAAGTGTATTAATTGAACTATTTTGTGAATAATTTTATTTTAGTTATCATCAAATGAGTGAATAAAATTTTATTATGAAAAGAAATTATTACTTGATTACCGCCGCAAAGCGCGGGTCAAATAACTAGTTCTTAAGTAATGGAAATAACACCAACAAATAATTAAATTATTTTACTATTACATAATCAATAATATAACATATCTATCACACTTTCCAATATATTTTTTTCTTTCCACTTTTCCCTTCACTTTCCTCCATAAAACAACATTTTTCTTTCCTTTAAATTTCTCTCCCCTCCTTTCCCTCCCCTTCAAATTTCCCTTCCCCTCCATTTTCCTCCCTTCCTTCGGAAAGAGAGGGTTAGAAAAACAAAATAACTATCCATCCGATCAAACGTTAGTTGACTATGACATGGCAAATTGGTTGATGAGTTGGACCAATCCTAATGATGTGGCAAGGGGTCAATTATTTTATTGTCTTTTATCGGATTTTTTATTTTAACCCTATTTCTTAAAAAGATAAAAAAGTAAAAACACAAAACTAATTCCGCTGCCACAAATTTCGTGGACTTATCCCTTCCCCACCATCTCTGTCGAAACATCTTCCAAAGCTTGCATCGTCGTCGCCATTAATCACCTAGAAAAGATCCCCCTAGCTTCCCCATCTAAAACCCTACCATCCGCATGGACTATAACCGCGTCGACCACATTATCAACCTAAAACTTATCTTTCAACATCAAGTTGTCGTATCCACCTCCCTCTAAAACCTGCCGACGCCGGGGAAAACCTTACCTAGGCACCCATGGATATTTCACTTTTCTAGCAACCTCGTGATATAGCTCTCCTGGAGTTGCGCCAGAATCGACCCTGTGAGGAAATCAATACAAATCTCACCTCTGATTGTCGATTCTTCACCTGCCATGAGCGCTTCTCTAGTAGAGAAGAACATGCAGCACTTGATTTATGATTTAGGGGATTCTGGATCCCTCTATTCCACCCTATGTCCATCTCTCTCTCTCTCTCATTCATGTAAGGTAACCAAAGGAGAAGAAGAAGCCTATTTCTCCACCCCAACCTACATGCCTCTTCCTCTTTCTGTGTTTCTGATTTCTAATCGAAATCAAAATCTGTTTATCACTAAAATATTCACTTGATACCACAATGATTATTTTCAAGGAGTGGTATTGGTATATAAGGTCAACTTAACGATATTAATTAAATTGGTTTAAACTGGGCCTAAATGATGGTATTTTGGGCTTCATACCAGGTACCTCAACACACACCACTTGACCCACCAAACACCCACTTGTCATGCAAGAGGGGTCAAGTGCCAAGCGTTGACACCCTTCAACGTCGATCACCCAAGTCGGCATGGTGGAGGCGGAATTTTGCTAAGGATGGAGACCAACCACAAGGGGGGGGGGTCATGCATGACATCGTCCAAGGGGGGTCAAGCACCAAGTACCATAGTCGGCTACCTACCCTTGCACTCCGGCATCAAGCATGATGTCGTGCAGGGGGGGCATCGAGAGTATCCCTAGACCAAGGCAAAAATTGGCTAAGTGTTGAGCCTCAACCACAAAGGGGTCAAGCATGACATCATCCCAGGGGGGTCAAACATGATGTCATACAAGAGGGGTCTAACACTAAGTACTATGGTCGCCTACCTACCTTGCACTTGGGTATCAAGCATCTGACCGTGCTAGGAGTGTGATATCAACGACCTCTAGACGTGGCAAGGGAAAAAGGGTAATGCGACTCCCTAAACCGTGGTGGCAAAGAAAGGCAAAATTTGGCTAAGTGTTGAGACCCAACCACCAGGAGGGTCAAGCATGACATCATCCTTGAGGGGTCAAGCACTATGTCGCCTACCTACCTTGCACTAGAGTATCAAGCATCTGGCCGTGCTAGGAGTGTGATATCAACTACCTCTAGACGTGGCAAGGGAAGAAAGGCAACGCGAGTCCCTAGACCGTGGTGGCAAAGAAAGGCAAAATTTGGCTAAGTGTTGAGACCCAACCACCAGGGGGTCAAGCATGACATCATCCCAAGGGGGTCAAGCATGATGTCATGCAAGTGGGGTCAAGCACTATGTTGTCTACCTACCTTACGCTAGGGTGTCAAACATGATGTCGTGCAAGAAGAGCTATCACGAGTACCCCTAGACGTGGTGGTGACAACTTACCACTCAGCTACCCTACAGTCACAATGGGGATGAGATTCGACTAAGTATGGAGTTTTCTCTCGACCACCTACCATGTACTACAGTACAAGGGGGGTCAAGCATGACATCATTCAAGGGGGGTCAAGTATGATGTCGTGCAAGGGGGGTCAAAAACTAAACACCATGACTACTATCTATCGTGTGCTAGGGTGTCAAGCATGGTGTCGTGCAAGGACATCATCACAAGTAACACCTATGTTATGCCTAATGGGTAGTTATGTCGGTCATGTATATCATCATATGGTAGACCACCTTGTCAAGACCCTACAAGCATGATGCTACCCCAAGGGGGTCAGTGTGCATCCATCAGACCCCCAAGCACCCTAGTGTCGAGGGTGGTTAGCACGAGTACCACCAAGCTTGAAGCCCTCACTCACCAAGCAAGACACCTCCATGGCACAAGGGGCTAGCTATCAAGTGAAGCAATCAAGGTGCAAGGTATCAAGTGGCAAGCACGTAAGACCGTCAAGGCGTCAAGCAAGCTACATCAAGCACCAAGCAGAAGAGAAGCAGTTAACAAGAGACGGTTACACGTCGGTTACAAAAGATGGCTATAAATAGGAGAAGCGAAAACGAAGCAAGGGTTCCACGACCAACCATTTGACTCACAATGTCAAAATTTTATCCTTTCCCTGCAAATTAGCCAAAGCCTTAGTTTCGGAGCTCTCACTGAACCTCCATAGGAGTAGGTGTAATTAACTTAGCTTGTTCCCAAAAAACTATAAAAAACATCAAACACCCTCGTTCGAACATTGTGTCAGAGAGGAGTGAATCGTTTTTCAAGAAGTCATGGTACATTTATTGAAATCAAATACCAGATTTTCCTCGCTGGAAAACAAATTGGCACCCCCAGTGGGACAATTGTGTTTGATTTGATGGCTCTAAGACAGAGACAAGAAGAATGTGATATTTCATCTGAGTTGTGTAGGAGTTGGTGGCCAAGTTCAGTTTTGGCCAAGTAACAAAAAGTGTTTTCGGAAACAATGGCGCGATTGAAATCTTGCCACCGGCGGCACCTTATGCCGAGGTAACCACCACTGTCATGTCACTCCGCTCATTAGTGGAGGAGAACCGCAATATATTGGTAGAGACTCGTCAAGTGATGATGGAGAACCGTGAAGTGATGGCGGAGAACCGTCGACTGATGGATGAGAGTTTGTATGGACTTGTTATAAGTTCACAACAGACACGTCTCAAACTTGCTTCTCTTAGTTCTACCTTTGATAGACGGTTGGATCAATTATTTGAAGCAGTTATAAAAAAATAAAAAAATTCTGGATAAGTTTAGAAATGATTTTATAGAACTAGTGTTGCAATCAAAGGTTTTGTCGCAAATTGGTGTAGATCCAACACCCAATAATACTACTGTGTGCAAAAATATTTCTCTCCCTCCGGTGGCTGGACTATCCAGTCACTGTCAGAGAATTAATCGCCTCCGATAACAATGAGTCATCCACCTTTTCTATGTAGTGGTTATGGCGAGAATCTCACTCACAAGTTCTCTACCCACGTAGAGAAACCGCTCGTGCAGACAGTTACACATGGTGTCTAGATCTTGTACGTCACCTCGTAATGGGAAGGCTAGTGGAGATCAAGTCGATTTGGATCAACTAGAACCAGAAGCTTGCCCGCCCTCATTGCCGCCCCTAGTCAATGGGTATGATGGATGCAAACCACCTAAGGGGCAAGAAGGAGGGCATGGAAGCCTACCACCTGACAATTTGAAGGTGAAGTGTCAAACTAGGAGGCAAGTTGACTTCAAGAAAATTGAACAAAAGAGTGTGTTCAATAGAACACCATATTTTTTGTCTAAGGATGGCATGGGGGCTTGTCATCAACCACAAGCAGTGGGTTGACAATTGTGCCCAACAAGCCACAACAAGCCCAACCCACATGTGTTTCTAGCAATAATGATGGTTTAACAAAGTGTGCCAAGGGGGGCATGTCTCCAGCCCCATGCAGTCTAGAAGGGGGCATATCATCGACAATAAAGTTACGAGTGGGACGCATGTTATCAACCACTAGCAGTGGGCAGATAGACATACCCAAGAAATCAGTGGCGAATCCAGAAATTTTACATAGGGGTGTCCTTTCTTAAAAATTAAATTGAATTAAAAATTAAATAATTATTAAATAAAAAATATCTTATTTTTACGAAATACAACAAAGCACACGAAGTGTTCGTATTTTGGAAAAATTGTAAAATACAATCGTTGTCTAACAACTCTCGATAGATCCTACTGGAACAAGGAGACTAGAGGAGTCCTTGATTGGATTTAATTGGTAGCTATTGAAAATAATTGGAGATAAGAAATAGCTTTTTACTATTATATTTTGATTTAAAATATAAGAATAAATGAGTTGTAGGCTAATGAAAAATATGTCTACTTATAGTAGCAACGACCCAAGTTCAAATCACTTAGACAAACATTTAAATATTTTTATTTACTCATATGCAAACTACTACTTGGAGTTGGATAATCATTTTTGCTAATTTTATTGGTGTCCGGCTACCATTTAAATATTTTTTTATCGATATGTAAACTACTATCGTGAGTTGAATAATCGTATTTCCAAATTTTAGGGTGTCCCGGGACACCCCCAAAGCTCAATGAATCCGCCACTGCAAGAAATCCCAGAAGCCCCAAGTCATACATGCTAGTAGTAAGAATGATAATGTAGCCAAGTGTGGCAAGGGAGACATGTTAGTGCTCATGAGTAATGGCATGTGGGGCATGTCTCCAGATCCATGCAGTGGTTAGGGGGACATGTCATCAAACACTAGAAGTCAAGGTGCATTTATTGAAATCAAACACTAGATTTTCCTCGACGGAAAACAAAATCCAAAAATAACAAGTCAGTTCCTGCCTATTACCCCACCCCACATGCCTCCTCCCCTTACTGCGCTTCCCAAAAAGAACAAATCCCTAATATGTACAAGCGAGCTTATAAACTCATTCGAATAAGCTTGATTGAAATTGGCGACGCGATGGCGAGGGCAATGGAGAGTGAAATGGATTGGTTGGTGACAGTAATTAGACTGGAAGTTTGGTATCGGTATTTTGGATAGAGGGTTACTATTTGCCGCCCGTCTCTTTACTATTTGCCGCCCGTAAATTAAACAAAAATGACATTTTTACCCTTTGTTCATTTTTTTATAAAACAAACCTCATTCCACCACAACACGAGCGACCACCACTGCGGCCGACAATAGACCATCGCCGGCTCCGCCACTCCTGCTGCCGCCGGCGCCAGTCCACCACCGCCGCCAAATCGCCGGCGGCGCCACCACCACCAGATCACCACCGCGGCCAGAACCAAATCATCACAGCCGGCGGCGGGCCCCGTCCGACGCCGGCGAGCGGACCGTGCATTAGCGACGGTTTCAAAACCGTCACAAAATTCATCGCTAAATGATAATAATTATTTAACTCAATCTTCTACTTTTTTAATATTATATCATATTATTAATTATATTTATGAATTAGAAAACTAAAAATTATTCATAAGAAAAAAAATTAAATTATAAAAAATATTGTACAAACTAATTCATACTTATTTTATAATTATGTAAATAGAGCTAAAATAAATAAATAATTCATTTTAATTATGTAGAATAGTTATAAAATATTTATAAATTTTGATTAAACCTTTTTAATTGTATTTATTTCATATTTAATAAGATCATCGTACCTAAATTATGTTTTATAAAACTTTCAAGGAATCGAGGCACGAAGAGGACTCTTTGCGGCTCGGGGAAGGTCGGGCAAAAACATATTTTAGCAATTACTAGAGTCACCGACATGAAAAAATATTCAAAATTTCATCGATCTCTTAAAATGTGGATACAAATGTGTTGGAATCGATTGTTTATCAATCGGACATTCCCGACAAAAAGAGATGAATAGTGCCAAAACTTTCATCGAGGTGTTTTTAGGGCTCTGGGGGTGGTAACTAGGATTTTCTTGAGCCTATCACGTATATTTCCACGAGACGAAATATTGTTGTTAGTGGAGGAAGAGATGATTTTGCCTCTAAAATAATTTCCTAGTAGGATTGGATTGATCGAGGTTGAAGGTAGCTATTCAAGGGGAATGAGGGTTTAGGGTTTCAGAGGAGTATAAGGTATAGGAGGTGGATGAGATGCTTTCCTTCTTTATTGTCATTATTGGTCTAGTTGAGTCGAGTTGATTCTTATTGTTGTTATCCGTCATCTTGGGTGAGATTATTTCAACTGTGGTCAAACCCTAATTAAGTCAAACCCTGATTCGGGTCAAACCCTAATTAAGTCAAACCCTAGTTCCCTCAAACAACTGTGGTCAAAATAATATATAATTTAGTCAAACCCTAATTCGGATCAAACCCTAATTAAGTCAAACCCTAAGTCAAACCCTAATTCCCTCAAACAACTATGATCAAAATAATATATAATTTAGTCAAACCCTAATTCCCTCAACCAACTATGGTCAAATAATATATAATTTAGTCAAACCCTAATTCGAGTCAAACCCTAATTCCCTCAACCAACTGTGGTCAAATAATATATAATTTAGTCAAACCCTAATTCGGGTCAAACCCTAATTAAGTCAAACCCTAATTCCCTCAACCAACTGTGGTCAAATTAACAATTATATACTAATTATTCAACTATCAATATTAAACTAATTAAGATACTAACAATTATATTTAAATAAATATAATAAATATTTATTTAAACCGAACCATTCAAACCGAATCATAAACCCAATTAGATCGGTCCGACCAGACCGGGCGGACGGGGTCCGCTCCGGCCAGTCGGACGGGGTCCGCTCCGGCCAGTCGGACCGCGTCCGCTCCGGCTAGTCGGACCGCGTCCGCTCCGGCTAGTCGGACGGCGACTGAAAAAAAAAAAATAAAAAAAATGCTCTTCGCCAAGCTTCGGAGGTTGGCGGCGACGAGAGCGAGCGAGGAAGACTCGATTTGCGGCGGCGCTGCTGTGGCGTCCTCTTTGGCGGCAGCTTCTAGGCTCGGCGGCAGCTTCTAGGCTCGGCAGGAGGGAGGAGTCGGCGGCGGCGGGAGGTCCGGCAGGAGGAGGGTCGTCGGCGGCGGGAGGACGGCAGGAGGAAGGAGGGTTGAAGGGGGGTGGCGGCAGATGGGTTGAGGGTGGGATAGGGTTAGGGGCAAAATCGTCTTTTTTTTTCTAACTATGGGCGGCAAATAGTAAAACTGCGGGCGGCAAATAGCGATTCAGTTTGGATATACCGAATGTCGTACCAAATTTGTCTATATTTGGTAATACTGAATGCCCGTATTATTTATTGGGGTTGGGATTGTGATTGAATTTCAATTGTTATTCAGTATTAGGGATTACGTGATTGGGATCAGTATATACCGAAATACCGATCAATACCGAAATATAAGCTAATGTATATTTAATCCTCCCAACTAGGTTCTCTCATTCCCTGCTACACGAGTCCACGACCCTAAACCACCAAGAATGTCATTTAATTATACATAGATCATTTCTAATACATAGATCATTTCATCACTATTTCACAACTTAGAAGTCCCCACCCAACTCAAATTTGACTTTCCATTTTAAGTCACTCTCGTCTCTCACCTAATCTCTTGTTATTTTCATTACACCAAAAAAGCAAACAATAGTGTTGGGCATGTGACTCGGATCTCACCACACCGAGGAAACACCAAGGATGCTCACGCCAAGGCAAAGCGCGCGAGTCACCCCGGAGTCCAGCGCGCGAGTCGCGCCGGAATCATGCGCGTAGGTAGAGGCCACCCTCTTGGAGGCGCGCGCACCAAGGATGCTCACGCCAAGGCAAAGCGCGCGAGTCACTCCGAAGTCGAGCGCCCGAGCCGCGCCGGTAGAGACCACCCCCGTGGGGACGCGCGTAAACACCCAACGACGGCGCATTGCATAGCCGTGGGCCCTCATCGAGTATCCGTAGAAGCGGTGCCGCGTCACCCAACGGGCCGTCACCATCATAGTCCTAGGTATAGTCCTAGGTATAGTCTTGCCTCTGTCAGGGGTAGTCACATCAGGGTCCTAAAAGTATGGCCTAAATCCCTGATGTGTCAGTGGTCACATCATTGTATCCACTTGTAACCCAACCACTCACCCACCACCATGTAGCCTATAATTATGGCATTTACTCCGGTGGGTGAGGGGATCGAATTTTTCAGACTCTATCTCTAAGATCATTACTTTCTCTCACTAAACACACCCTCTCTTCGAGCTCTATCCTCCTTCTCATTTGTCTCAAAGTTCTGGTTCAACCAAGCCGTTCATTCTTCTCGACCCATTCTAGTGAACCTCACTCCTACACTCAGTTAGGTTCAAACAATTGGCGCCCACCGTGGGGCTTGAAGAAAAAATGGCAGAACAAAACTCCAACATACCCGGCGAGGTAACCCCCATCAAGGCAATGACGGATCCTAGGGTGTTCGCGGAACTCGCGGAAGCTAGCAACCGCGACGCGGTACTCATCGAGGAAGAAGAGCCCGAACTGACGGCCAAGGAGATGAGGCAGCTGGTGACGCAGCAAAACGACGTCATTGCCGATATGCAAAAGCATATGAGCCAAATTATTGCGCTCATGATGAGGAGGGAAGCGGCGGCAGCGCAGAGTGCGCCGTCTGGCGCGTTACAGCTAACACAAGGAGGGACATCAGGCGATGTCCCGCCACCACACCAGGCAGCGGCCGAGTTGACCGCGCCTGAAGCCCAGCGATACGAGCCGCCTGGAAGAGCGGACCTCAGCTTTTTAGAGTAGCACCTGTCCCCACAGTTCCGCCCCAATATGCTTAGAAAGGCCTTACATCAACCGCTGTGTGCGGAGATCATGGCGGAATACTTGAGCGGGACGCCACCCACCCTCCCCACGTATAACGGAACGACCGACCCTGAGGATCACGTCAGCACCTTCTGCTTAAGGATGCAACTCCAAACTAATTCTAACGCGGCACTGTGCCAGACGTTCCCATCAACGTTTTCCGGGATATGCCTCGACTGGTATAACCGCCTCCCCAATGGAATCATCCGCTCTTTCGAAGAATTCATACTCCTGTTCACGACGAAGTTCGCGTCACAAAAAAGAAGGCCTCTCCACCTCAAGGCGCTGATAGACATCCGCCAGAAGGAGGGAGAAAGCTTGCGGGCGTTCTACGCCAGGTGGTCCAGGGTAGCAATGGCCGTAAGAGACCTCAGCCCAGAAACCGCCGCCCATCACCTCATGGACGCCACCACTAGCATGGAGCTCAAGAGAGCGCTAGCAAAGAGACCAGTCACACTATCTACGGAGCTGGAGGTCAAGATTGAGAAGGCCATCACTTTGGAAGAGACGCTGGGAGCGGGCTCCATCAGACGCTTCGAGCCCGCCAAAATGCCCAAAGAAGATCAAGCTCGTAGGAAGCTTCCCATGCCGCGAGACCAGCTGTTGCAAGCGCACAGCGGCGCCAGACGCCCGTCACCTCCTCCAGAACAAGCCCATTGGGGGCGGTCGCCAGATAGGCGCCCACCAAGCTATACACCCCTCAACGACACGGTTAAGAACGTCTACCACGTTCTGCGAGACAAGGGGTACAAAATCAACTGGCCCGCCCCCATGAAGACCCTCCCGCACATGCGAGACCCCAAGAAGCGCTGCGAATTCCACAGGGACACGGGTCACTGGACAGAAAACTGCAGAGAGTTGCGCTACGAAATCGAGGGCCTCATACAAAGGTGACTCCTGAAGGAGTTCATTCGCGGAGCAGAAGAACCGGTGGAGCGTCCTGTGGAACCCCCACCACCGCCACAGGCCGACTACGACGATGCCTCGGGCTCGTACGTAGTGCGAAAAGAAATTGGGGTGGTAACTATAGAAGGGGACCGCCCGCAGAAAAAGACCAAGCGCGACCGCGCCATAGAGTGCGCAGCGGCGGAAGCTCCACAGAAGTGCAACTTGAGCTTCGACGACGCTGAACTCCCTGGAGGGGTCCCGTCAGAGGACCCACTCATCATTATCGCGCTCGTCGCCGCCTGCAAGGTTCGCCGCCTACTGATAGACGGGGGCAGCGCGGCGGACATCCTTTACAAAAGCACGGTCGACCAGATGGACATCGACCCGCGGCTAATCAAGCTCGCCTACGGGAACTTTGTCGGTTTCTCCGGCACGAGGGTCCCAGTTATCGGCGTGGTCACTCTTCCAGTCGTGCTTGGAGACCAAGAGCCACGCGTCTCGAAGCATGTCGAGTTCACGATAGTCGACTGCAAATCCCCCCACAATGGCATTTTTGGCCGCCCGCTCTTGGCGAAATTCATGGCTCTCCCGTCAACATGCCACCAGAAACTTAAATTCCCCACTAAGGAGGGGAGCGGCGAAGCGCGCGAGACAACCTGGGAGGCCCCAAATTCAGGAGAAGTCCGCCAAACCAACATCGTTGACACAAGGGCAGAAGAGCCCCGCCCGGAGTCAATGGATTCCGACTTCGAAGTTGCTCTTGATCCGAACGAGCCGACGCGCAAGATACGCGTCTCAACTCACGTCCCTGGAGACGCGATTGAACCGTTGATAAAACTGCTGAGAGAGTACAAAGAATTATTCGCGTGGTGCACGGAAGACATGCCAGGGGTGCCAAGAGAAGTCGCCCAACATTCCCTTGGGGTTCCAGTTAGCGCGACGCCAAGACAACAGGCGCGACGAAGCTTTACGGACGAAGCTCAAGGCCACTGAAGAAGAAGTGTCGCGCCTGCTGTCGGCGGGGTTAATTCGTCCAGTGAAATACCCGAAGTGGCTGGCGAATGTGGTTTTGGTAAAAAAGTCTTCGGGGGCTAGGCGAATATGCGTCGACTACACGACGATCAACAAGGTGTGCCCGGGGGACCCCTACCCGCTGCCGCGCATCGACCAACTGATCAACGCCACCGCCGACCATGAAACACTGTCTTTCCTGGACATGTTCTCAGGGTACCACCAAATCCCAATGTCGCGCGAAAACGAAGAGAAAACAGCCTTCATGACGCCGTTCGGAAACTTCTGTTTCGTCGGAATGCCATTTGGGCTGAAAAATGCTGGCGCAACATACCAAAGGATGATCGACGCGGTGTTTTCACATCAAAGGGGGCACAGCATTGAGGCATATGTGGATGACCTCATCGTCAAGACCAAGGCAGGGAAGTCACATCTAGATGACCTGCGCGAGACATTCGAAGCGCTTCGCAAACACAGTCTCCGCCTGAACCCGCTGAAATGCGTGTTCGGAGCAGAAGCCGGAAAATTCTTGGGATTCATGATCACCAAGCGCGGCATCGAAGTCGACCCAAAGCAAATCACCGCAGTCCAGGGCTTGCGCGCGCCAAGAAACACATTGGAGATCCAGTCTCTGAACGGGAAAATTGCGGCGCTAGGAAGGTTCATCCCAAGATCAGCAGACAAGTGCGCCCCATTCTTCAAGACACTGAAAAACGGCGCGCGATTTGCATGGACCAAGGAGTGCGAAGCGGCCTTCCTAGAGCTCAAAGCATATCTTGTTTCCCCCCTGTATTGACCGCCCCAAAAATTAATGAAGAACTTTTTCTGTACCTTGTCGTGTCCACAAGAGCAGTAAGCGCAGTACTAATATCCAAGAGAGACGGTCAGGGCGAGCGCCCGGTGTACTATACATCGCGAACTCTGGTCAGCGCAGAGACAAGATATTCCCCTATCGAGAAAGCAGCATTAGCACTGGTTAGCGCAGCGCAAAAACTACGCCCGTACTTCCAGACGCACCGAATCACAGTCCTAACCAACCTCCCGTTAAAAAAGATCCTAACTTCAATGGAGGTATCGGGGCGAATGGTAAAGTGGGCCGTCGAACTATCAGAGTACGACATCCAGTACGCTCCGCGTCCAGCAATAAAGGCGCAAATCCTGGCAGATTTTATCGCTGAGGGAGTAACCCTGGAAACAGCTCCGAAAGGGGTGTGGGAAGTTTACGTAGACGGCGCGGCGAGCAAGCACGGCGCCGGCGCGGGGGTAGTCGTGCGCACGCCCACAGGTGTTGTGCACGAAATAGCAATCCGATTCAGAGCCCTGAAGACAAATAACGCCGCCGAGTATGAGGCCATCTTGGCGGGAATGGCGGCTGCCAATGACTTGGGCGCTAGAACAATCAGAGTACTCTCTGACTCATCGCTAGCTGTCAACCAACTGAATGGAGCCTTCGATGCCAAAGAAGATGCACTCGCGCATTACATGGAACGCGTCAAACAGCGTGCAACCGCCTTCGAGGCGGTGACATACGTGCAGATCCCAAGGGAAGAAAACATGCACGCTGACGCGCTATCCAAACTGGCAACAACAACAAACTTCGAGTCTACACGCCTGGTGACAGTACAAAAGGAGGAAGAGGAAACCAACCAAGAGGCCACGGTCAATACCACCCAAATCGCGGGAGATGATTGGAGAACCCCGATCATAAGGTTCTTACAAGACGGCGTGGTACCAGAAGATGCCAAGGAAGCATGGACCTTGAGGCAGAAGGCGGCCCAATGCACAATAATTGGCCATGACTTATACCGGCGATCATACTCCGGAGCATATCTCAAATGCATTGGAAACGACGAGGCACGCAACATGGTGCAAGAGCTGCATGAAGGGATGTGCGCGATGCATGTCGGTGCGCGCAGTATGGAGCGTACCATACTGTTACACGGGTACTATTGGCCGCGTGTGAAAAAGGACACAAAGAAGTACGTTGACGAATGCAACAAGTGTCAATTACATGCGCGCCAGCACCATCTCCCATCGACCGAGTTCCAAGGCAACCTGAGCGCCTGGCCCTTCGCACAATAGGGAGTAGACCTTCTGGGTCCATTCCCAACTGCAAAAGGGAAGCGCAAGTACATAATCGTGGTGGTGGACTACTTTACCAAGTGGATCGAGGCGGAGGCACTGGCTTCTATAACGGCGCACCAGGTAACCCGCTTATTAAAAAGTAATATCCTGGCGCGCTACGGAGTCCCGAATACGTTCATCTTCGATCACGGCAAACAGTTTGACTGCGCGGAA